CCAAGGAGGGCATTCCTATTATGAAGAATAGAAATATTCAAGAAACGTACGTAATTATATCATAAGCAGCAAGACTTTGCTAAGCAATTCTGAACATGCAATTAATTAATTAATTCTATACCATCCATTAGTCAAATCAACTCTCTGAGCAATTTACATAATCAAAATACACAACTAAAAACAATGCCTTAAAACCAAAGATAAATAATACATCGATACAACAATGCTAAAATAGAAACAATCGGCCTACAATGAACCCATAACAATAACGCTCAAATTAATCCAAGGTACAACAGCAGTACAAAGAGTAACATGTAATACAGATTTTTAAAAAGATTTAGAATTATTAACTGTTAAAATATTGGGTGAATAAAAAGAATAAAGAGTGGGCACCATTTAATAACAAAGAAAAGCTACCACTGGAAAAGCTATACCCCAGTTCAAACATGTACCTGTGATCCATATGGGAGCATTCACAGTATAGTGTCCACTCCATGGCTCTTGCGCCGTCATTAAACCACTCCGGCCAAAAGGCAACTCTTGATAGTAACTGGCCACGAGATTCCAGGCAATGGTGCTGTTGGGGTGGGCAGAAAGGGAGAAAATGAGAGTTTTGCAAAGTTAGCAGATCACAACGTGGCCACTTCTTAAGTCCCAGCTGCAAAGGGAAATGGGGCATATCTGACCAATATATCCTTCGCTTGGATCCATTTCCAATATGGGTTGCATCCAACATGGCACTCAAGAAATACAGGTTTTAAACCTGCAGAGATCCAGAGAGTGGGCCAGTGCTGCCTTAGGCCAGACTGGCAAGATCAGACAGGGCAGGTATGCTGCGGGAGGCAGGGCCCTCAGTATTTTTCCTCTGGAAAAAGTCAGTCCATCCCACACCTGGCAATGGGAAGAAAGCTAAGTAATGGTGTCCTTGTTTTCCTGCAGTGGGGGCTGAGAGAGCTCAGGGTCCCTTTGATGCCCAGGCATGACCCTTCCTGCTCACCAGCACACCTCTTCTCTCCCTCTATCCAGAAGCACCTGCAGTGGCCGTACAGAGCCAGGAGGGGCTCTGACAACAGCCTCGGGGAGCTCCTGCACAACCGATGGACCTTGAGAAGCTGGCTAGGGACCCCAGGACTGCTCTCCTACACAGCATCCCTACAGTCCCTGGGAAGGCATTCCAGGGATCATAGCATAGTTGGGGTTCCCCTTCAGGACCTGAGGGAGGGGAACCCCAAATCCTCTCCTACATCGGGTCCTTCCCCATACCACACCCCCTTGCAGCTGCCATTTCAATTTCTCAGATCGAAATTTCTCAGATCGAAATGGCATCCTCGGACAACCCTGGAGTGGTCGAAAGGGGAGGAGAACATTCGGGTTGCTTGGTCAGGAGGGTAGCAGAAAGGAGAGGTCTCCTACAACCTCTCCGTTACCTGTCCATGTTGGTAAGTGAGGCAGATGGGCTCAAGAGTCTATCAAGCTGACAGTATCATCATCATCATCATCATCATCATCACCATTATTATTTTGAGGAGGAGAAGGAGGAACAGGAGGTGAAATGCCTTCTGTTCATTTCTTACCCCGCCAGTCATAAGACAGGACATGAGTCAGAAGAGAGGCTCTAAACTCTTAGTTAAAAATATTAATTCAAGGCAGAGCATTCATAATTACAGGAAATTAGTCAAGCTGTTACTAGGCAAGTTTCATATCACTGTACTGGTTATATATACTCATCTGTATCATCCTGTGTGCAAAACTTACGCAGTCATGTTCCCGTTCACAAAGTTTTGGTTAAGGATTCGAGCCCAGCAACCAGCACCCACTTCATTGTTGAAAGTACTGTAGTCTTCAGAGGCCCAGAGTTTCTTCTGGGTTAACAAGGCAGAACACACTGTTCTTGTCCCTGGATAGTGAGCCCTGGATAATGCCACACACACACACACACACACAAAATCCAGGTTTAATTCCAAGCATTCTAAACACACTTTATTAAATTAAGATATAGCAGTTTTAGGGAAATGTAAAGCACAGCATGGTTTGGTTTGGTTTGGTTTTTGCAGTGGTAATCTTATTTTTCCACCACAAGAAAAAAAAGTTCCTTCACAAAACAGCTCTGAAAGGGATTTCATAAGTTAATGCGCATCCAGAGGCATTAAAACTTTTCTTCTATGTTTACATCAGGGATGGAGAAACTCCTTCAGCCAAATTCCATTTCAGTTCTGCTTTTGGGGGCCAATCACACTGATACATGCAGGAGAAGCCAAAAAGAGTGGGGGCAAATGGACAAAAACAGCATATTTCCACATAACTCACTTACTGCCAGTAAGTAGAAGCCAAAAACTAGGAAACTGAAGCCACAGGAGCCATGATGTTATGACCTTTTCGAAGAATGCCATTTATATCTCACACATTTTAAAAGAGAAAAATGATGCCAGCGCTTAGCATAGTATTCTGAACACTCTAAAGTGTGTCATATACAATATCTTGGTAATCTTTGCAAACCCCCTAAGTCCGTATTATCATTAACACCCCACAAAGCTGCCAGCAAGCCATTCTCTTTCTTAGTTTCTGTCTCCCTTTTGGCTGCCTAATGAGTCTGCGGGAAGAGAGAATTTAAACCAGGGATGTCCTAGTTCACAGTTAAGTTTCTGTCTTGCTACAGTAGCTTTCAGTGGTTGTTCATGACTAGAATTCAAAAGACCTGAATGACTAATCCTCACCACAGCACTTGGAACTCATGTTTCTCAAAGCAGTGGCCTCGCCACACTGCCTGCCAAGTTCCTTTTGAAACTTGGAGCAGTGAAACAACCAGAGGGGCTTATCTCTAAAACTTTAGCAACTCCTAAGCCAAAATATAGAGCTAGATGCTTACATCTCTGCCAGTGGCAGTCTTATCAATACTTCCAGAAGGCTTTCTGCAAAACACAGAAGGACTCAAGATTCCCATCTTAAGGCCATATTTGTATACATGTCTGGACAAAAAGAAGTCTTGGCTGGCTGGGAAACGCTGGGAGTTGTAGGACATTTTTCTGACTAAACATGAATAGGGTTGCTCTCTAAGAATATGCGTTATTTTTGGCTAAAGCACAATTGCTCTCAACTTCTAATGGAGAAACCAGACAAATCTTGTCAAATTCTTATAGGCGTTCACCCCTACAGGACACTGTGATAGAGACAGACAAGGCAGATTTTACCCATGAAGAGCCAAGCTTCCTCTCCAGTTTATGATTTCTGCCCAGGCAGATCATGCCAAGCTTACACATGAGTAAATCTCCCTCTACCAACTTCACATGACAAGGTCTCTTTCTCTACCTCTATCTAAACCAGATTAAAGACCGGACCTCCAGTCTGGTGCTCTCCAGATGTTTTGACCTACCATCATGACCAACCTTTTGCCAGGGATGGTAGGAGCCGAAATACCTGGAGAGTGCTGGGTTAGCAAAGACTAATCCAAAACTATGAACAACCTACACTTTAAATATAAAGGCATGGAGCCAGACTGTGGAGTGGCCTTCCTATGCAGCTACTGTCTAGACAAGTAAAAAAAAGTAACGGATTTTGGAGGAGGTAGTTTAGAGCAGAGATGGAGCTGGAGAGCGTGTGCTCAGTCCTTTTTGCTCCAAATGGCTTCCCCAGAGCACCAATCATGGAAGTGCATAGTTAATAGCGCAAGCACATTTGGAACTTTGTGGAGCGGAAAGCGACACAGGAGAGGTTCCCTGTGGAATGGAGAAGAAGCAGGTAGGAAAAAGTTCAAACACCCCCATTGCTTCCTGGAAGTAGGAAAAGCTCTTGGGGTTCAATTAGCCACATTTGTCATTTTATTTACTTATTTATTTATATTTCTTCACTACCCATCAGCTAAGAAGCACCCTGGGCCATCCACACGTCGTTTTTGAAAGCTATGAAGAGGCACACAGCCAACTTTGCAACTGCTATCCTGATATTCCAGAAAGGAACACTTTCCAAAAGCCATTGACTTCCAGCATTAACCAGGAGTTATCATAAGGGTTAATGGGGAGAGGATCAGCTTTGAAGAGATGCCCTACCCAATAACATCGACTGCTTCGCGAAGCTCAGGGTCGAGCATCATGAAGAACGAAATGGGTTGCCACAGGTTATCGCTGGCTATGATCCTCACCCGCTGAAGCTCTTGCTTATCCAAAGTGTATCTTAAAAGCTTGGGAAATAAAAAGATGGAGAAAGTTGCAATTCCCCCCATTTTTAAATAAATAAAGCTCACTCTGCTTCTTTCAGTATGAAGGAGATCCATTCTGGAAAGCACATAACTCAGATCATGCCATTTAGCTGCCTTTAAAGTCTGCTTAGATCAGGCTTGGGAGAGGGAAAAAGGGACCTAGTTCCAGTCACATGCATTCACTTTTACCTGCTGAAAAAACAAACTGAAGAAGCAACAAAAAAGTCAACTACCTCTCAGCACAGCACTCCTGGCATACAATTTTGGCCACATGCAAAATGCAAGCTTGAGGATTTTCAGGTCCAGCAAGCCAGAAAGTGATTGTACTACACAGCCATCATGAACCCAGGCCTTAAATGAAAGAAGCTGCGAAAGAAGCACATGCCCAGTCCCTCTTCAATGAATATCTGAGGCTGGGGAGAAGCCACTAATTGTCAGCCAGGGATACACAGCTTGTCTCTTCAGTGAGCAACATCTCAAAAGCACTGATGCCATGAATTGTATAACTGGTCTGCTCATTGGTTGAGTTCTCCCCCTTGCAGCACTCATCTTTTCAAGAAGACGGACTGGCTGTTTACAAATTCACTACTAAGTTTGGAACAGATCATGAGCTTCTGAGCATGTGCAACCTATATCTAAACAATGCCATTTCTGTGCACGTGCGGCATTGGTTGGATTAACCCTATCCTTGTCTAATCAGGTGGCATTTCCCTCCTCACCTCGCTTTGCCTCTGCAAGGAGGAGGAGGTAGATACAGAAGCAGCCTCCCCATCCTAAATGTTTAATCATCCTACAGTCTCCTTAGCAGTTGCCACCACCACAGCTCTGGCTCCAAAAGGTGCTATATGATGCCAAACTGCATCTTCCAGGCACCACTTCCATACCAGGTATACGTAATGGCAAATTTACACAGAACCAGAGTATAGTTTTGAACGAGACCTCTTATCCCAGGAGCAAGTTCATTCTTTTTTGAGTACACAACAAACTCAAGATAAGTTTAGCCATCCATAATTAACAATGATGGTGACATGGTCATTCAATGCTTTTCCAATCAAGGCAAACTGCTTATAGGGCATGCAATGGGAAAATGGCAAAAGGTCCCTTCACCTCATGTCCAGTGCCCAGCTCAGGGCTCCGCATACCCACTTTTTGTAGAAGAGAAAAGATTATCAGAAATTCCAGTTGCACCTATTCCAGTCTCACTCAACATACACAGAGTTAAAACAAAGGTCAAGCCAAGGGCATATTAGAGAATGAAGATGAAAATAGCCTCTTGACAAAATCTTTCAAAATCTGCCCCCATCTAAAACAAGTCGTTGGCAAGACACTGTAAAATGTAAAGCATTTTCTAATTAAGTGCAAAGTCTTATGAAGCAAGGTCACCATTTTAAGAAGCAGTCAGACCCAGCCAATTATAACATAGGTTACTCAATTATAAACAAGCACCAACATACAAGCTGTCTAGCAAGGTGAGACAAACTGAGCAATAGCCTGGCTTTTTGTCATACTGCATACTAAGCAGTTGCTCTGAGCCCCAAAAGTAAGATATACATCTTGTATATGCTGTGATCTTCAACACCACACCCAAGCATAAACTCCTGAGTTGTGCTGTGAAGATCCACCTTCAATGCCTGGTTAAGCCTATTTTTAAATAAGAAAACAAGCTTATTTGCTGGTATTTTATCCTTTTGGAAAACTACTGCTAGATGAATCCACAAGTGTGTCAACAGCAACTATTAACTGAATTGCCTTTACATTAGTCAGCAATTAGCTGTCATTACAGAACAGGAAAGTGTAGAATCCAATAGCAGAGAATTGACCAGCTCAGCAAACTGAGGAAATCGTAAAGTATAATGAAGCTGACAAGACATTAAGAAGGCATCAAGGTCTACATTTACTTGGGAATGGAATTACTAAATTAACATGAATGTACAAACCATATCTCAAGGTTACATTTGCACAAGACTTTCAAAAGACTCAAAATCAAGGATGAATTTGGCAAAGCACTCTAGGATATACCCATTAGGAGGTTATTTAAAAAAACAACCACACTCTAATTCAGTTCAGTCCTGTTTTTTAGTGAAAGGGAGATGCTTTCATTAGCATCGATTGCCTTCACAAAACAGAGTTAGAAACCAGCCCTGCATAGATCTGAGATCCTACTTTACAGAACAGAGTCACTTCTCCTCACTTCTGTAACTTGTCTGTACAAACAGAAGCAACACCTGAGGGATTCCTGAATGACACAGCCAAAACTAGATACCTGCCTCGCTCCTTTATGTACTGGTTACACTCAGAGCTGCCTCCAGGCACACCCCCTGGCAGTGCTGCCTCCAAATTTGAAAGGACTCTTTAAGGCAAGACACCCCCAGCAGGACCCTCTCTCAGTGAGCCAGCTTTCTGGCTGTCACAAAATGTTATTGTTCCATAGCAAAGCCTGAAGGCAGGCAGGCAGTGAGCTGCACCGGCAAAGGGAGCAGCAAGTCCAGACTGCTCTTGTAATTGGGTCCTGGCTGGCTGCAGGTGCCCAGCCGTGCCTACCCCTGACGCTCACTCTTCTCCTTAGGGGGCCTTATTTCCCCTGGCCCACCTTTTCCAAACTGGTACACACACAAACGTGTGCATGCACGCACACTAGGTGTGGGGGGAGGGGGTCATCCAACAAAGCACAAGGATGGGAAATAAATGAAGTACTTCTCCATACAGAATGTCGTTAAGCTATAGAATTCTCTACCACAAGATATATTGATGGCCACACATTTGGATGTATTTATAAATGTCTGATAATCGCGATGGAGACACATTACCTCTTGTAACTGAGTCAATATGCCTCTCAGTAGTACAGGTGGACTGGGGAACACAAGTGGGAACATGTGAGCACGCTTATGAACTGCTTTGGGTGTCTCATTAGCATCTGGTTGTCCACTGTGAGAACAGCATGTTGACCTAGACAGGACTTTGGACTGATTCAGTTCAGCACTGTTCTTCTTATATACTCCTTACATACACTTTTCTCCCCCATCTTCCTTCCCCGGCAGTTTCCAGAGGTCTGTGCCGATTTCAAATTATAGGAAGGTGGCTGCATGAAATTATAACGGCCATATTTGGCCCCTGGGGCAGCAATGGCAGCCATAAAAGGACTTTACTGCAAAGTGCCAGGTGCAGAACGGCCAAGTTTATCCCTGCTCCCCTGCATTTCCACAACTTACCCTACTATCGCAATAGAATCATTAAGATAGGGATCGACTAGCATTTGATTGGCAATGTCCCACTTTCCATCCGCAGCAATGATGTCAGTGTTCGTTAAGCCCTCTCGGTCCATAGTTTTGCGAAGAACCTTGGTAACAGATAATATGATTTGAAGTACACCTTCCACATCTGAGAGGCATGACATTATTGGAATGGAGTAAATTAACATGAAATGTTTAAAATGCTATGCTCCTATGTGCTGTTATAGCCAGTCTGAGCATCTTGGTTTCCAGTGGGGATTTCGTATGCTAGGATGGGCAACATGTGGCCTAAAAGTAATGCAGAGAGGGAAAAACTATGGAACACCAAAAGCCTCAGAATCAGCTTACAAACACCTTAATCTTGACCCTCTTGCAGCACTGTAGCTGCTGCAGATGCCGCTTTTGGGATAGGGCACATTCCAGGGGGGATGCAGCCTGAAAAGATGTCCAGAGGCAAAAAGGGGGCCTGCTCCACTTCTGCCGTATACATTTACCGGGAGCTAATCTCCATTGAATTCAGTCTGATTTACCTCTGAACAGACATGCATAACATTACTGTAAAGCTGCTAAACTGTGGCGGAGGGGCTGGTTTTAAGATAGAATAATTATATAAGGTTGAGGTATGACTTTTAGCATCACTGCTGCAAATGGCCCTCCAAGGCTCTTCATTCACAAGGACCCTTTTGGCTGCCAGCTACGCAGGTCTTTCCAGTTCATGATCCCAGAACCTCTTGCTTGCAACCAGAGCTCAGCACTACAATTTCCAGCCTTGAAGGGCACCCAGACTTAGTTTCCTCAGCTACCACAGTTAATTCTCCTTACATTTGCAATTAGACACTCTCCTGCTAATCCGTACAAAGTATCCACCGCCAAAAGCCAGGGAAAACTATCCATAGACTCGTTCCGCAAATCACTCCCTAATTTCACAAAGGGCAGACTAGCTTTAGGTTCAAAGGATGCTAAGATGCAGTTAGTATAAGCCTCACCTGAACCGGCCGAACTATTATTTTAGAAGTTAAGCACTGTGCATATCAGAAAACCAGACATTCCTGGCAACATTAAGTCACGTAATCAGAAATAACTGTAAATACTCTTTCCAAAACAGCAAAAGAACAGCAGGCAACACTGGAGATTATAAAAATTTTATAGCAGCTCTGACTGTTCAGTATTAGATCTTAAACTCCAAAGCCTATTGAGGGCACAATCTATGCAGGAAAAAAGGACTACAACTCCCAGCATGCCCACACCAAAACAGTATAGCTGGCAGGGGCATGCTGGGAGCAGCAGGCCTTATTTTCCTGCCTAAACTTGTAAGATTTGCACTTGTAGAATGATTAACATCAAAGCCAGTCTCTGAGTCACATGCAAAGTGCCAACCTATACTTGTACATTCAGAAGCAAGTCCTGTTGAGTTCATTGTATTCAAGTCCCATTTTACTTCCAAATAAGTATGTATAACATTGCAGCCTGAAAATTACCTTTTTTAAATGATACAGAAGTCCATATTAAGTAGTTTGCTTGAATACAACCTTGATTAAAAATTAAACCACAAGCAACAAGGTAATTCCAGAAAATGAACAATGCTGCTATTTCTCTGCTATTAATTTTACAATCTTCAATACTACAAAATCTAAGTCATTTGTGGAAAATAAACTACACCACACATACAGCGTAGCGGATCAATGTCTCAGCAATGATCTGACTCTGGCAGAGAAAACTTCCTAAGAACTGTCAATTTTCCCCCTAAAAACAGAAAATCAGCTTAATGCAGCCATGATTTAGAAACCCTACGTAAGAATATTTAGGGTACAACCCTGTGGCTGTCTAAACAAAGTCTAGATGGCTAAAGGATAATTCAGAGTTCCTTGAGCTCAGAAATTCATTCCAATTCAGCTGGGAATCCAAACTCAGAGCACCTTCCTGCCACCCTTGCAGCCAGTCCAAAAAAGTCCATGTTGGCAGCCGCTCCAAGACTGCAAGAGCAACTTCAGAAAGAGACATTTGTGAGCACGCAGCAGGGGATACACAATATCTGGCAGAGCCTGGGACCCCTCTCGTACTCTGGGCCAAAATCGCTGCCCAATAGCTGCAGGGCAGGGGAAGCACAGAGGCAGGCAACCTTGGCCTCCATGCTCCTATCACCGAGCACTGGATGCCCCTAATCCACCACATTCAGATGCTTACAGGCACACTCACTGGACTGCTCTGTTAATGAAGTTCATTCCACAAAGGAGAGGGTAAGGTGGTAACAGCGAGGAGAGGAGTTCATCGAGAAGAGATGCGTCATTTTTAGAGATGCGTCATTTTTAAAGATAAGCAATCCTATCCCCTTAACGCAGAGCAAGCCCCACTGAACTCAATTGAACTTCGTTCTGCAGAGCTGTGGGGGAAGGCAGGAGGAATAAACCACCACTGATAGCCTTCACTGCAGTCGCTTGCTGGAAGCTCTTTACACACACACCCTTTGCAACACAAAGAGCCTTGCATTACAGCAGCAGCACTGGAGACAATTCAGCTGGTCACACACGTGTCAAGATGTTCTTAGCCAACGAACATGAGCAACTGGGAAAAGCGCACTGTATAAAGGGCTTCAAGTAGCTAAGACCATGCATTCCCTTTAGTGCATCAATGTAACACAAGCTCAGTTTTATCTAGTTGCACAGATTCTGCAAAAGGAATGATACATCACCTGGCCATGCCTAACTACTGACTTTGTCACAAAGCCTTTTGCATCTTTCATGCATGCCAAATCATAACAACAGTTCAAATAACAATTGAGAAATGACAACACAAAAGTGACACATGAATATTATGAACTGTATATTATAGCATGCTGAACAGTAGGTAAGCAAATCAAATCAGGGATCTTGATTGTGGTGCAGCACTGGAAGTCTGAAGATGTGCAGCTTATAGACACAGTCTTCTGAATTTATATCTCTGCCAGTTTATCCTATCCTAAGCAGTCAAGGCAAGTTCTCAGGCCTATTCTGATAGTGGCCCAATTCAAACACAACAATCCTAGTCCAATATTTATTGAAATGGGGACAAACAAAGTGACCACACAACTGTTTTTTGATCTTGTACTTCCCCTCCTCTCTTTAGATTTCCTTTCTTAAATGAAAATTTTGGAGAAATTGAGGTTATGGGCTTCCTATAAACCAGGTCTGACTAGTTTCCTGATTCAGAGATAGGGAGCAGAGGGGGACATGCCTTGTAAGACAGCAGCAAACCATTAATTCTAGATCAATATCTTGGCCTACAGTTCCCATGTGCATTCGCAACTGGCTATGCTGGCTAGGACTAATGAGCATTGTGGGCCATGCTTTCTGGAGGGCTGCAAGTTGCCAACCCCAATATACTGAGGCAAAGTAAAAGAAACATCGAAATGAATGATAGATCAACACCAATGTCACTAAGATGCATCTCATTTTATTTTGCTTTCAATCCTCATGCAGTGACACAAAACCTGAAAGGTTTATGCAGCAGTAATCACAATGAAAAAGATGCCCGTGTGAATGGGTATGAAGTCTTCAAATGTACCCATAGCTTTTGCACTCATCAGGCCATGCAGCTGCTCCTAAGTGATTCAGTTGCAGTGAACTATGCTCCCACCCACACTTTGCTAAAAGACTCTCCCTCTCCCTCCCTAGTAATTTATGAAATAAGCAACGTGAAATGTTGTCAGATGACCTACCTTGATATATTTGCTGTTAAAAGAGCGCTCATTCCAGATCTTTGAAAAAAACACACAAAAGAACCCATATTTAGAACTGTTACAAAGGTCCTCAAGCACAAGCAATCAAACACTCCCAGACTGAGTTCCAGACACTAACTAACTGGAGCTAGAACTAACTGGAGCTAAAAAGCCACTAGGCAGTAGTCAAGGTGATGTAGCAAGGAAGACAGGAATGAAATGCATAAGCTACCAAAAAGCTGAATGAGGTTTTTTCCCCAATAAAACTGGGAGTTAAATAGCAAAATCAGAATGCAGCATTAGCTATGAAATGATGGGCAGAAGAAGGTTGCCTTTACCAGCTGTCTAAAGCAGGGATGGGGAGAAGATAGGTGGGACCTCTCTGGGATTTGCAGCAGTTCAGCAAGGATCTGGTCTCTGTGCTGTCAAGTCTGTATCTTTGCAGCTCGTACAAAAATGTTTGCAGCTGGCCAAAGGGGTCAGGGACTGATTGCTCTGTCTCTTCACCACTTTGATTGGCAGGAGGCTTTTTTCTCTTATACCAGCCTGCATGCTAGTAACATCTGTGAACTACTTTAAATAAATACAGCTCCAACAGACACCAAGAAAAAACCCAGTGTCTTAATGAAATACAAAATCTCATCTGAACTTATTCCAAATCATGTATTTTTACTTGCAGGACAAATATATTTAAGACAGCTCAAGGTCATGCTACCACGAGGACTTTTTGACAGTGCTGATGTGTGGAACACCACTCTATGGATATAATACATAATACAAAAAAGGGAATTACTTTAAAGTAAAATATTGAGAGCACAGTACCATCAGGTAACTTTAGAGAGATCGCTAACAGAAACTGTGTGTTCAAAGAACAAAAACAAAGATTTAAAGAGAGGCTCCTTACTAACCCCAATATAGTCAATGTCCAGATCATGAAATTTTTTAGCACCTAGTATCCAGGAGACAATATAATAAACAGTGACATCTGGATGATCATAGGGCCAGTTCTCTCCCTTCCCAACCCATCCTGGAAAAGCCCAGGGCAACCCTGTAAAGAAAACAAAACACAGAAAGGGACGTACAAGAGAATTATTAAAGCTTAGCATATTTATTAAAGCTTTAAATTATTAAAGCTCAGCAACACATACTTCTAGGCAAATAAAACGTGATGAATTAAAACGTGCACTACTTCAAACACAAGCACTCAAAGTTATGGGAAATCTTGTGAATGTACACAGATTTCCCACACTTGCCAGACACACAGAGAAAGAGCAATGTGTTTATTACTAAAGAGGCACTATAGTCTTGAAAAAGATATTACAACCAGTTCTAAAAACATCATCACTAAAGACACAATCCTATGCATGCTTAGAGAAAGAAAAGGCCTACACATCCTAGCATGCCAGAGCCAGCTAGGACTTAATAGACCTTTTCTCTGTCTAAACATGAATAGCCTCACACCCTAAATATACATGCTCCTCTTCCAAGTAGTAGTCTGCATAGTAGTTTGCTTTATTGATCTTATAACTGCATACCTCATTGGAGCAGAATGAATGCAGCAGGGTGCAGTTAAAAGTCATTTGAGAAAGACAGTTAGGAGCTGGGGGACCCCGGGGAATCATGTCAGTTTGGGCAGGGAAAGAGAGAATTAGATACCAGAGCTAGTATGAATGGCAAAGAACACAGATTGTTGAGTGGATGGTATCCGAGAGATCCCGTTCTACCTGGTCACTACAATCTACATCTGAGGCTGTGCTCTGACGGCCACCTCCAAGGGAGGGCCTTCTCATTGGTAGCCCCCTCAGATCCCCCTCAGAGGCCCACGTAGAACCAACGTTGTCATCTGTTTGCCTGTACTCCAAGGCAATTAATAGCAGAAGATAGGAAATATCGGTTGTTTTAACATGTCTAGTTTTTATTGAAATTGTTCTAGTTGCTTATACTATTTGAAACTTTGCGTATTAAAATTTTACACTGAATCTTATTACATTTGGATTTTTATTGTGTCCATTTTTACTATTGTACTTATGCTTATACATTGTTGTGAACCATGCAGAAAGCTGTAGCTACTGGACAGTACAGAAATGAATAATTATCCTCCTCCTCATCACAGAAGACATGATAAATAGAATATTGGCAGTGAGGAAAGATGTTAAAGAAGGAAGTCAGAGAGTTCCACTTCCCCACTGCAGCTCCCTGCACATCTGGCCAAATCTGCTCCAAAGGGCTGGGTTCTTCTGAGGCAGCTGGAAGCATGGAGGAAGAGAGAAAGAGCCAGTGCATGATTGTGAGACTGCCTGCATGCTGTAACCCAGAAATGTTATGCTGGGTTATTAGACAGCATCGTTATTGTAATTTAAAAGATGAATCCTCAACTTCCTAAGCAGAAATATGTTTACTGTTCATCTGTGTTCCAGCCTGTGTCAGTGAGCACCCGTTGGTTTGGGGACGTTTAGTGCACGTGAAAGAAGGAGCCCTACCACTCTGTGCAAGTCAATTCTAGTAGAGACAGGCTACTTTGAAGGGCACGAGGAGCTTTGGATATAGTGGACCAGCCAAGTGACATTTCCAGTGACCTCTGGTGGCTGGAGCTTTGTGGAGGATCCCTAGACACGGCACACTCATCCCAAACACCTGTTGACCAATGCCAACAAACTTGGAACTAAATGGCAAAGCAGCCCTTTTTCAACCCAGAATTCTCAACTGACAGATCTTGCATCTAGAAAATCTCCTGCTTGCTTCAACCAAGTATCAATTAATTCCTGACAGAGTGTTCAGCACCTCTTTCTTGAACTAGGACAGTTCAAAATAAAACTGCAAGATTTCTGCAGGTCATGAAATGTCTGGGTTACTAAAAGTAAATCGTCAAGCAAAGAAGCACTATCAGCTTCTAGTTCAAGACTGAATGCTTCATATTTTATTAGCCACAGACATTAGGAGTGGAAAAAAGATTTCAAATCCTTCCTTCAGCTCCTTCTTTTCTGTCTCTAAACTCTGTCTAGCCAGTCAGGAGCATGTGCTTTCCACTTCTACAAGCACTGCAGCAATGGGCATCTAAACCAATGTTACATCCCAGTTAGGAAAAGGGGAGACAAGGAGGAAGAGAGACCCAGAACATTTACGAGTTTCCAACGAAGCCATGGCTAGGCCATCACGCAGCCACATATTTGCACAAGCCAGCTCATGCAATCAAATCTTGATTCAAAAGGCTAAGATTTGAACAGGCCTCCCACCCGCCTGTATGCATGCAACCTCTGCATGCCACCCCCTCACAGGACCGCAACAGTAGGCAATGAAAGCTGCTTCAGCCGCAAAGAGAAGTTGTCTAGCCCAGGAAGCCACTAGAATGTGATCAAGGCGCTTCCACCCACGTCATCTACAGCTGCTGCTCAGTCTAAACAAGCTGTTAAGACTAATTAAAGGTCAATTGGTTCAACCAGGTTTTGACTGAATTTGTGCTGCTGTGTCTTGTAAACTCTGTGGGTTGTTCCCTAATTTTACTATTTTATCAGAAGATAAGGTCAAGATCTCTTCTTGCTGATACCAGAGTGTAGCACACGGAATACTCAAGTCAAGCTGTGACAACCCAGATCCAGGCTAGATATGAGAAGTTTTCTCACTGTCAGCAATACGACAGTGAAACCAGCTGCCTAGAGAGGTCGTGGGCTCTCCCACACTAGACACAATCAGAAAGAAACTGGACAGGCATCTGAGTGGGATGGTGTAACGTGATGTCCTGCAACAGCAGGGGGTTGGACCCAATGGCCTTCATGGCCCCTTCCAACTCTACTGTTCTATGATTCTATAATTTTATTTTATTGGTTTTGTGCCCCACTTTGGATTTTATAATGAAAATCAGATATAAATTAAGTAGGGAAAATCCTCCAAGATAAATCTTCTTAATTAAAAGGTCAGATTCCAAATAATCCAAAATGGACAATTTTAACTCTTCCCTCCCCATTTGTTTTTCCTCTGGGGTTATATCATTTAGACTGTCCTGTTTTTCAGGTGCTAGCACTTAGTAAATTCTGCATGCTTTAGAAATTATTAAACAATAATTGTATTTTCCACATAAATTAAGTGAACAAAGAATACCAATTTGTTCCAGACATGATGGCTGGTAAGAAATCAACCCACTCAGTAGCATTAATTAGTCCTATACACACAAAGAATATTTTGTAACATGGACATCGAGTATTCAAACTATTGCAAAGCATGATTATAATAAAGCAAGCTACATATAGCACTCGCTACTAGAATGCTGTATTTAAAAATGAATCACAGAAATGTTTTAAATTACAGGGTCAGAATGCTAAAACACCCCATGTCTCACCAATCAATTTAATATGAGGGTTCCTTTTCTTAGCTTCTTTCATCAGCCACCATTCATAGCCCCGGAAATAATTTTCATCATCTTCATAATGCATATGAGATGGCTCAGTTCCATCTGTGGAGGGAAAAAACAAAGCTCTTGCTACAGAATACTAAATTCAAAGCTTATGATCTGTTTACTTTTGTCACAGCACTTCACACATTTCCAGAACAGATGAGAAAACATCCTGCATACTGTGCAACATTATTCTTGCATCAGTTTAAGCCCTCCGTTTAATTGCCAAGGGAAAAAGCAGATTAATACCGAACACAGCTAAATCTGTCCTCCTACACCTGCATAAGGAACCTTCCTCTTCTCTAAATAAACCTATGTCTCTTCTGTAATCACAGAACATTTGGTAAGCGGGCAGCTATGGTTTTCAATGAAGAATTGAATGCTATGTTTTAAAGGCACAAATGGATTATTCTAGATCCTTGTTTACATGCGGCAGAGGCACAATTAGCTAGAGATAAATCTGAAAAGAAGCTAAGAAAAATATTATGATCTGAAATAAATTAAATGCGATGCCAAAATTATGTTGGATTATGGATTAGAGCAAGTGGGAAGGTGCATGGAAGAGAGCATTTTCTACTCTCTCTGCAGCCCCAAGAGCCATTGAACAGTTCGTGTGTTCATTTATTTATTAGATTTCTATGCCACTGTTTACTTTTTAAAAGAACTCAAAGCAGCTTACATAATTATCCTCCTCCCAGTCTTCACAACAAGTACCCTGTGGGGTAGGTTGAGCAGAGAGTCTGTGACTGGCCCAAAGTCACCCAGCTGGCTCCATGGCTGAGTAGGGACTCGAACCATGATCACCTGAGTCACAGACCAAGCTCTTAACCACTGCACCACACAGTTACAGAGGTTCTCCCAACCCTCTTGGGCAGATGGTGGAGCTGCAGGTGCAGAGGGAAATCTGTGGACATTGTCTTCTCTCTTCTTCCACCAGGGTACCACACACCTGACTTGGACAGATGGAAGCAGTCCTTTCATTCATGAGAGGCAAAGTCTGGACCCAATCCAGAAAGCCAGTATGGCTCCATGGTTAGAGAATTGGGCTGGGACTTGGGAGACCTGGGTTCTAATCCCCACTGGGCCATGAAGCTCACTGGGTGACTTTGGACCAGTCACCAACTCTCAGCCTAATTTATCTCACGTGGTTGTTGTGTTGTTGGACTCCTTACAGGAGGAAATAAAAGAAGCAGGATATAAACATAATAAAATGAAATGAAACTCTGTTTTGTGAAGTGATGGTTGGTTCTTCCTTGATCAAAGCGGCCATTTTTGATCCTAGGTATCCACAATGTACTTTCACACTCACTGTGTTCATAAATCTATACTGATATGATGCCAGGGAAGCAGTGGTGCTCATTAAATGCTGGAAATGTAAATGTGGTTGTAAATAGAAGCAAGTAGCATTATTTCATGCTTTACTGACAGGTACATTTTATTGAAAGAAAGAACCATTCTGTGTTTATAGTCTGTGTTAACCTGCACTGGACCCAGAACATTGCTGAGCACACAAGAGCAAGTACAACATTTTCATTAAGTCTAAATATTTCTGATACTTAACTCCATGACCTCAAGCCCTTTCACATATACTTCAAAAACACAGTATTCTCCTGAAAGTAAGTTACACACTTGCACAGAAGAAAGCAAAGCTAAATGCTCACTCCTGGTTATTCAATTGATGCTGTGATGCTCTGGGGTTAACAGAAGCCATGCTTGCCTGATGTTTTCTTTGCTTTTCCATCAGCTACTTTTCTTACTTTCACAAGTAATCTTTTCCGAGGAAGAACCTTATAGCCCCAGCTGTGTGCCTGGGCTTCACTTTCAGAGAGAGATAAATGGACACCATTTTGCACGCTACAATATTGTTCAAAAGAGCAAAGTTAATTTTACAGAACACTGGGGCAGGAAAAGAATTGGTATGTCTCTCAAAGATGAGGTGCTCATTTGGCCTACACTGCTGAGGCTCAAGAAGCCTGTGACAAGACCAGCCCCTCCACAGCTCCTACCTGTAGACTGTGCATCACCACCGATCTCCACTTTGAGGATTTGCAAAGCAGAACCAACATTTGGCTTCAAGGAAAGAAAAAAAGAAGGAAACAGTCAATAATCCTTCAAGAAATACAACCAACAGTGTCATCTAAATAGAGGCAAACTTACTTTCACATCCATTACAATTAGCTTTCGCCTACTGCTATGAACGTCTGTACTTTAAGAAGCAGGACAAGGTGAACTGATCCCTCCTGCCCTGCCCCACTTTGTGCAAGGTGACAGTCCTCTGCATTACTTTTGCTTCTTTCTCTCCACATCAGGATTAGCAGTATAATATAAAGCAGGGATGGGGAACTGGTGGCCTTGCAGGACTCCAGTTCCCGCCATGCCTGGCCCCTGGTCATGCCAGCTAGGGGTGATAAGGGTTGGGAGATCAACAATAACAAGAGGCAGAAAAGTGCCATTGGCATCCATCGAAGAGAACTGCAGGCCTGAAAAAAGAAACCCAAATGATGACCCTTTTTGCTGCTAATAAACAGATATGTTAAGTCATCTGTGGACTTGTTCTATTTCTTCAGGCTTCAGAAGAGACTCAGGCCAAAGTTAAGCTATTTTAACTTTGCTATTTTCCCCAACAGTTCTGCTAATAAATAATGCATGTAACATTATTAGTCCATATATTGCCTTCTCCCATTGAACAACTTTGCCAAATTAAGCAGGAGAGGTACCAGAAACCGGGGAGCAATAAGTTTGGTTTGCGTCTTCTGTATCCTACCACCTCAGGAGAAAAGTAGTAGCTAGGTAGGACTGGCTTGGTAGTCAGTTTTTAGAACCTTTGAAACACTGCCAGCCAATCCATCAGCTCTGTCCCTCTGAAGACTAGTTGTGCAGCACTAAGGGAAACTGTCACCCAGCAACCCTAGCATTAAGAAAGGGATTTGGAGACTTCTTCATGAAACATCTTAGAATGGAAGCCTATTCACTCATATTCTTCTCCTCCCAATGCCTGATATTATAGTTCAAGCACATCATAGGAAGGCAAGACACCCTGGAGAAGACAGTGATGCTAAGGAACATCAAAGGCAGACAAAGAAGAAGGAAGACCAGCTATGAGATGGAATTATTACAAGAGCTGAGCAGTACTGACAATGACTTGACATTTTGGAGGACATTCATTCATAAGGTCATCATCATCCGACATAATCAGTCAGAGATTACGTGACAGCATGTAAAAACAACAAAGGATCAGAAGGACAGAAGCAATTTTATCCCAGTGAATATCCTGATGAGGAAAGAGGACATCACGTAATGCCATGCACCGGCTGTATGACCTCTCCTCGGAATGAAGCAGCAAGGGAGGAAGGCCATGCTGCTACAACAAAAGTACACTGTTCTTTCTGCAGGCTGGAAAGAGGTCCATGGCAATACTGGGAAGGATCATCAGGATACCTCTCACCAGAAGCAAAAGCCAACTTTATCTCCAATTTAAGTGAAATTGTACAAAATCATGTATTTCCTCCATAAATTCACTATTTTAAATTCATACAGAGGTGCTGATAATCCCCAATGATTCTTACAAGAAAGAAAGAAAAATCCTGCAACCTTCTGTTATTCAGACAAGTATAGCATTTCACAGAGAGCTGTCAACAGCATGTTCATCACTGGTAATCACAGGAAAACATAAAGATTCCACTTCCTACATCTTCCCTTCATTTTTCTATTTCCCAATCATTCCCATTCCCATTTTATCCCACTTTTTTCTTAGGAGAAGATAACAACTAACCACATATGATAAAACACTGTTCTCCCCACTCCCAGCTAACTCCACCCACGAAACATCCGCTCAAAAGAGAAATCTTCCAATGGTTCCAGAAGGCACAACTTGGCTGGAACCTTCACAAAATCTGAAGGGATACACATTCCAAAATGGGGAAATGGCCATCAAAAATGTCATTCTACCTCTTCACTATTTGCATATGGAACACAGGAACACCATTTGGCAATGGAGTAATATCTAATTAGTGCTTCAATTTTAAGTCAGGATGAAGCCAGCGCAGACATCAGAATACTGGTGTTGGATAGTCCCCACAACCATCTGTTGAGAGCTCTTGTATCCTGAACCAGAAAGGCAGGGCAGCTCTATGCAGAAAGTGGTCCATCAGACAGAACTGTTCAAATCCTGCCCTACCATTACCACCATGATCAAATCATAGGATTTCCCAACCAACATTACTTCTGTCTTGTTTTTGGCTCAGCAATCTTCTCACCCACATCCAGTCCTTCCCACAGACCCAGAGGATGAGCTAAGTACTAACCCTGCAAGACCCAAACCTAGCACAATTTCACCTAGCCATTCCATTTATACTATGAAAGATATGAAAGGCTAGATGGAACTCCAAAGGCCAGAAACAACCACTTATCATTAACCTCTGGAAATTCTGGATCTGAAACATACAGATGCCTCCAGATGCCTCCAGATGCACTGAACTAACTCAAAGAATTCCACAAGCCTCTTCCATCCCTCTAGATGGGCTGGGCTACATCTTCCAGAGTCTCCCCAGGCAGCTATGCTATGCTAGCTTGGGAAATTCTGGAGGGCACCTGGCCCGGTAAGACTATGCTAGTTCTATGAGCAATGTCCAAGCCATGCAGTCTCATCAACAGCTGTCTGCAGTCAGTAACATGAGGCTTGTCGCCTCCTCCTCTCGAGTCCCAAAATCTTCCTTGGATCAATTACTCCTGGCAAGCAGGGTCTGCGCTGAAACAAGCCGCTGCTTCTCATGGCTCTCAGAGCCTGGTCTCACCACTCCTGTCACAACTTCTGTTGCACAGACTCAAAGAAAAGGGAAGCAAGGAGGGAGTAATGAAAACTAAAAAGTGAAAGTTGCTTCTTAAAGCATGTTTCTGACATGGCACTAAACCAGCATGTTGTCAACAGTCTTTAGGAGCAAGCAAAGTCCTTTCTCAGGACCAATCAAGATGCGATGTTCAGCACACAGTTTGCTCTCTTGCAGCAACTGGGTTATTTAAAAACATGCATACAGACACAGTAGGTAGCTCGAGGGAGTAAGCCAAATTGAAGCTGGAAAGGATGTAACCTTTTGACCCCGCTGTAGCTCTTGTTGGAACTGGACCGCCCACCCCCTCCACAATTACCTGCAATGGGAGAAAAGCAACACAGCAGGGGGATAGAGCCAACTGTAGCTGGACTGCAGCAGGGGCAAAAGGTGAAGCCCACCCTTTCTCCACCCAACCTTTCATGATGCCAATCTTGCTTGCTTCCTAACAAGCTGTTATTTTAAAAAACAACAGTACAGTTTGCTATCTAGGAGCAGGCTACAAAACAACAATCAAATATAGTTTCTAAATATGACAATCAGTTCAGAAGTTATATATCTCATTGTTATATCACCCATTAACCAAGGCTCTCTGGTTCAAGTGTTGAATCAGAACTCAGAAGACCGAAGGTGAAATCCCCACCCAGTCATAAAGCTCACTGGGTAACTTGGGGCTAGTGTCTTGGTCTCAGCCTAACCTACTCCGCAGGATTGTTGTAGAGAAGATGAAACCAGAGGAGGAGGAAGATCGTGTATACTTCCTTGGGTTCTTTGCGGGGCAAACGGCAGGATATAAATATAATAAATCAATGCATAATGTTGGCCCTGAGTTCCCACAGCAAGGCTTTCAACCTCATGTTAAGTCTGTTTTTGTTAAGTCTATAAACACACAGAGAAACATGTATTACAGAGTATGGCTGCACTTTAACGCAGCCTAAGTTTCACAAAAAATGTGTGGAACTTGCTGTCATATGTACAGTTTGACAGAAAAAGGCCAGAATGCACTGGATTGTGCCTTAAGTCACATTCCAGTGCCAACCAGCGAATGAGTAATGTGGGGGGGGCGTGGCAAGAAACAGTTCAAATATGCCAACTGTATAAATTAAACATGCACCATGTGTGACGGCAAAGACAATTTCAACCAGATTAAGTGTTCTTTGAAGCATAGCATGAGTGTTCCAGAAAAATATAAGAATGCCATTACTGCCACTACATTCAGAAACAAATGGAGGCCAGTGCCAGGGCATTGTCTTGGGTGTTTTTTAAAATACATTTAAGAACAACAAAGTAATAATTACCTTAAAAAGATAATCTAAAATCTGTGAGCGATAAGGTTCTGGGTAATTCACCAAAAGCCTAGAGGTAGCCTGGGGGGAAAGGATCAGAATGATTATTCATACCTATTCATACTATTAAATGCTAAAGAAACACTGTTTCAAAGATTATGTCAACAGCACATACATTGACACATACTGCGCCTTCTGACTTCCCCAGGCTCCAATGACCTTTCATCATCTCATCCTTGTTTTTCTCACAACATCCCTCTTCCCAGCCCCACCTGGCCTCATCTCTGCCCCCGTATGAGCACTGTTTTTCTCATACCTGCCTTCCAACACAAGCTTCATTTTACACCCCTTGTTCCCTTCACGGCCTCCCCTTAGTAGGCTTCTCGGCCCAGGTTAACAAAGCAAGCTCCATACGCATCCTCTTCCACACTTTGCAGTGACCTGCAGCCATCCCACTGCTCCCCAGACCTTTCTGTTCCCATCCCCTCTCCTTCTCCACCATCCAGGCCTCCACCTGGCAGGACTCCTCTGCCTTCATCAGCCAATAAACAAGTTGAAATTTAAAAGACTAAGGCAGGCAGGGGAAGAAGAAAGTGTCACCTGTTGAACTTTTCACTGGCAAAATTCTTTATAGCAATAGAAGCTGTGTAAAAAAAACAAATTCTGAAGCTGTTTGGTCTACTACCATCCCCACTGTCTGGGGCAGGAGGAGTGTGGCCTGGCTGAGCACATGGCACGTGAAGCAGAACCTAGGGAGGTGTGGGGCTGAGCAGTGCCTAAAAGGGAAATTGTCTTGCACTTGCATCTGAAAGATTCCCGTTCATGAAAGCCTCTGCTACAATATCTTGGTTTGTACTTGATGTATGTCACACACACCCTCAAGGAAAAACGAAGTCTGAACGCTGTTCAACCTAGGGACTACTTGAGGCTATTTATGAATATTGAATCCATGCACTGAAATATAGAGGATGGATGGATGGATGGGACACTCCATGACTTCCTCCCAGGTACCCCAACCCTAGTGCTCTGCATGCACAAAGTATCTCCACTTAAAAGGACTTAGGCAGCTGGGCTGGGAGACCCCCAAGATCAGGAATAGCCAATTCTAGGGTAAGAACAGAGCATTTGCAGTCAACATAGGAAGAGCCCTGTAGGATCAGACCAAGAGTCTGTCTAGTCCAGGATTCTGTTCGCACAGTGGACAAGCAGCTGCCCAGGGAAACCAAGATGCAGAACAGGAGAGCAACAGCAGAGTCCTGCCCATGTTCCCTAGCTACTGGTACACACAGGCAATTGACAGCCTTCTCCTGCATGAATTTGTCCAGTCCCCTTTCAAAGATGTCCAAACTGGTGGACACTGTCACCACGGAAGGGCAGCAGAGCACATGTATTACATGCAACAGGTCCCTTGGTCCATTCCTGGCTTCTCCAGGTGAAGTCGAGGAAGATGTCACCTGCATCCCTGCAGAACTCCTACCAGTCAACCTCACTCAGGTCTATAGAACCGGGAGCCCTCCAGCTGTTCTCGGCTCCCAACTCCCACAATCTCCTGCTGGCTGGGGCTGACGAGATTTGTAGTCCCAAACTGGATAGCAGCAGTAGGTCGCCTACCGCTTGTAGCTCCTCGGCTAGACAGACCCATGGTCCGACACAGGGCAGGTCGCCAATACCCTATGTCCTTCAAAGGTGTTGGGACTGCAGTTCCCATCATTCGTGACCATGGGCCGTGCCGGCTGGTGCCGATGGGAGCTGCAGTCCAAACCACGAGAAAGGCTGCGGAGGGCTGCCAGAAGGAGCTTCCGCCCGGTCGCCGCGGCTCACCCACCCCGCCGCCGCTGACCGCGCCGACGCCGTCGAATTCTCGGGCCAGCCCGACGGTATCGTCGAGCCAGTAACTGCCGCTCTTCGGGGCGGCTGCGGTGACTGCGGCCGGAGGCACCTGCCAGGCCAGCAACATCAAGCCCCACAGCCACATCCTTGCGGGCTGGTGAGCCATCGCGGCTGCAACGTGTGGACCAACGAAAACCGGCAGTACTTCCCACCCCACGAAGGAGCAGCGGCAGCAGCGAGAACAGCAGGAAGAGGGACAGCCGCAGCCGCTCCAGGCAACGCGAGAAGTAGTAGCCGCAGCAGCAGCAACAGCAGCAGCAGCAGCAGTTCCAGCTTTTTCCGGCGCGCATCCTCGCCTCTGCAGCAAGGCTCGAGCGCGGCGGCGGCGGCAGCGGTCCATGTCCCCGCGCGGTCACGTGACTCAAGATCACCTGACGGGACGAGGAAGTGGCAGCCCCAAAGAAAAGGCGGCGGAGCAGCCGCAGCAGCGCAACTGGTACACACAGGCAATTAACACAGAGGCAATTTACCGTTCCTGTCAGGCGGTGACGCGTGACGCGTCATCTCAGTTGCTGGCACGTGACGGGAGTGCGGCGGCTCCTTGCCTTCTTTTCTGTCCGCGTTTTGCTGGGAGTTGTAGGTGCACGAGAAGGCACGCGGGTCGTGACCGCTAGCCCAACTGGAGCCTTATTTTCTTCCTTGGTCCTGCCCACTCATAAAGCCTGGAGCCTTATCATCTCTCTTGGACCAGCAGAACATCAAAACAGCCCTCCTGGATCAGATGGCCTTTCATGCTGGCATCCAGATCAGCATCCGTGGATATCCGTGTGCCCATTCCCCTTCTAAAGCCTTCCAAATTGGTGGCCATTGCTACGACTTGTGGAATGAATTCCACGGTGTAATGCTGTGCTGGGTCCTTTTATCTGTTGTGAATTCCCCTTTAATCAGCTTCAGCGGATAACCCCTCTGGGTTCTGGTGTTAGAAGAGAAGGAAAATGCCTACCAAAGACACATTTCCCTGTTCATTAATGCTTTGCCCTTCCAACAGAGCTTAGGATATTTTGCACAGGGCAAGATGCAGTTTTCTTCTTTAGTGTTTTTCCAATTTTTATCTTCACAACAAACCTGGAAGGTAGACTTGGCTGGAAGAGAGAAACTGGTCTAAGGTTTCACAATGAATTTCAGGGCAGGTGCAATGTGAACTCAGGTCTCTAGTCTTTTCTGAGAGATATATTCTGTTACAACAAAAACAACCAAGGTATTGTGGCATCTTAATAAATGAATTCTGATTTTAGATTTTGTGAGAATTGTAGGACTGTTTTCTGTCTAAACATGCATAAGACCGAGCCTTTAGTTGCTAGTTCTTCTCCAACCTGGTGCTCTGCAGACACTTTGAACAATAATTCTCAGCATTCCTGGTCTTTTGTCACACTGCCTGGGACTAATGGAAGTTAGACATCTGGAAAGCACGAGGTATTGGAGAAGGTTCTTCTAGTTAGGTACACTCACTTAGTAAGTTGCAAGTTCTGAGCAGCATGCTCCCCAAATGCTATGAAAAATGTTTTAATAAATAAATAAATAAATAAATCTTATACATGGTGATTTGGAAGTAAGTTCCTCTAATTTCAGTGAGACTTTCTCAGGTGTCCATATGGTTGAAGCCTTTTCAGGTCAAACTGAATTTTATAGGACTTATTCTTAAATAGATTTGAATGCAAAAAGCTCTTTGACAACAGCAAAAACTATTGTGAAACCTGTACTTCCAAACACTTTGGTAGCCCAAAGATCTCAACACTTTGATGAACAACTTGCGGCCTACCAGATATTTTGGGTTACAACTCCCATCTGCACTAGCTAGCATAACCAGTGGTGAGGAATGACAGGAAGTGGGCCCAATCAGGCGGTTAGCCCACTGCAGGGACCTTGCCAAAGCACCCCCCCGAAGAAAAAAACACCTGATGCTGATATTGATCCTGTAAGTTCAAGCAGATCCGTACAAGTTCAGTGTACCATTTGTTAACGGAAACATAACAGCTGTTTCAAAAGCCTGTACCAGATATGGCTTTGAAAATTACAGGATATGGCAAGTGGAAAACACTCTTCAGCAATAAGTAATGGAGGAAGAAACTCGTTCTCAACTTTGGTATGTAAACAGAGCTGACATAAGCATACAAGAGTGCCTGTTTTCGTGTGGGAAATGTTGGACACGGAGCAGTCTTGATGGAATGCTTCCTGTAATTGAAGTACATTCCATCTGTCTTATCTTAGAACCCTAAGGACTATTTACTTGGCCAGAATATTAATTTTTGAGAAGTGACAACATAGAGCAATTCAAGCAAAAGACGCCTTAGACTGATTCCTCCACGCACAACTACAAGCATGTACAGTCAGCTAAGTCTTATTCAGCTGCTAAGGATGCTGTGTAAATAGTTAGAATTGCACACCATCATGAGTCATGTGGTAACTATAAAAGTCTTGTAACATGCACATCAGCCAACAGCCATTGTTTGGAAAGGTGAGATTATGAGCTGCCGTGACTGAAATGTCGCAGGGTGATAAATCCATAAGCACTTGCTGTTTTGTGAGTTCTGTGCATTGATTTTAGCTGCTTGCTTGGTATCCCATAATAGCAATGATCCTGGTATTGCCTGCACTTCCAAAGCAATAGCCATAGAAAATTCTATCTGAAATAAAATGGATACAGCATAATATCGACCTTCAGGCTTCCATGATTTGAACTAAAACTCCCAGAATTCCTGACCATTGGCCATGCTAGATCATGCTGATGGGAACTGTATTGTTGGTTGGTTGGTTTCAGTTATAGATCACCTTTCTTACTCAAGATTCCAAGATTACTTCCTCTTCAAGCACTGACCAGACTCAGACCTGCTTACCATCAGCCTGGTGGCTGTTTCAGGTGCCTTCAAAACATGTCCCAGGACCAAAATATCTTTGTAGTCCAAAATGTGTAGAGGGCATGAGGCTGGGGAAGACATTAAAGACATCAAAAAATCTGTGACATGACTTGATAATGTGTCAATAACCGTAAGCTGTGACATTTCTGTGAACTATGCATGCAAACATATGGATTTTATTGAATATGGGGGTGGGAGATGCAGAGGTACAGATATGTATTATATGTGTGTGTAGCACTGCTCCATGCACGCTAAATAGAAAATGGTGTCTCATTGTGCCCTGCTGTCACTTAAGTCCTGGGCCTCCCCAGGCAGTAAGAAGCTGACCAGCTGGTCACTCACTCAAGTGGCAGATCCAGTAGTTAGCTGCTTGAAAAAGAAAAAGGCAGAAGAGCTTTGCTACCTGGCTTGCTCAGCTGGTGGTTCTTTGCAGCCACTGGCTGGCCAATCAGCACTCGCCTTTCTGCAGCTCATGCGTATTATCATAACCATATGCGCATGTCTGATTTGACCTCCTCTGTCTCACTGTCTTGAGCAATCTGCTCTGCACATTGTTCTAATCTGCTGGAAACATTCTTGTATCCCTTGGGAGTAGGCTCAGCCTCACTGTTCAACCACCTACAAAACAGATCTGTGCTTTCTGGAATGTCTAACTGCATACACTTGGGACTGCTGCACTGGGCTCATGACAGCGTGCCAGACAGTGCTGAGCTGATATGTTTTGAATGGTTGGCTTTGCGTAAGGACAGGGGACTTGTAAGCATGTGCAACAGCTACACACACCAGATCGGGGGATGCGGACTTGACCTGAGCGCCATGTTCTATTTTGGAGAAGCGCCTAGCAGCTGCATTCCGGTGGTGGGTGAGACCAAGAGTGAAACGGTTGGGACAAAAATACTTTTGAAGCACCAGTATTTTGGGGCTCTCACTGTTAGTAACTGAGCCTTAGGAGAGGCATTTCAGCCTTATAACAATTAACTTCTACTTTAGTCTTAACACTGCAGATACATTATCATGTATTGCTGCTGTACCTCTGTGCCAGCTCGATTATAGCGCTGTGGTCTTACTGTTGCTGCGGCCTTTGTTACAGTTGCTGTTTAACTGGTTTTATTCTATTGTTTTATCCTTATATATCAGGGTAGCCAAACTGAGACTTCAGAGCCACATGCAGCTCTTTGAGTTCATTTTTCCACAGTGCCCGTGGGGGCCCACTTGCCACTTGCTGCCTATCGCTGACCACCTACGGTACACGCTTATAGCTCTCAGACGCCTGACATTTACTGCATGTGGCTTGCCATTAGCAAGTCTGGCCACTTCTGTTAGATGTTGTTCTGCCTTTAGTTTATATACTATTTTAAACTTTGTTAACTGCCCAGAGAGACTTTTGGTTATTGGGTGGTATAAAGATGAAATAAAATATAGAAATGGTGGTTGGGGAGAACGGCACAAACGCCAGGAACCCACCAAAGATCAGTGGTTGGGGAAAGGGGTGGGTCTGGATCAGGACCCCAGCACTAGATGCTTTCCATGGGTTCTGCTGCTGGACAAACAGGCTCTACCCCATTCCTGCTGCCCCTTCCCATGCATGTGCCATTGTTCATGGCATGCTTGGTTCTGTTCTCACCCCCACTCATAGGTGCTGCTGGAGTTTAAGTCTTCCTAAAGCCGGGAGTCCTATCAGGGCTGTGCTCCAGTGGAGCCATACGCAGGTTGCCCTAATTCTAAGCCATTCTGTGAAGAGTTATTCTTTGCTGTGCCCACTAGACATTTTCATAGTTTAGGTATAATTAGACAAAGGAGAGATGTTAATTAATGTATACATTGGCTCTTCTACTTTTACCAAGGCAAACAGGTTGAAGAGATTGCCTGAAGTCATGCATTGACTTCATGTCAAGCCCTGATAGATAATTGCTTCTAATCTAGTATAAATGATTGTTTATGTTCT